TGGCTGCCTTGTCTGAATACCAAGCTTCCAAGAATTCTCTTGCATTTTTGGATTTGGCTTGATCTAAGATGCTGACAGTTTCCCAGTTAAAGCTATGGCTGAATCTGTCCAAGCTCAGAGAACCCCAAGGACCCCACAGTTCAACCCTGAGCTACACATATTCACCTCTATCTGTTGATACAGAATTCCTATCTCTAAACAAGCCTTTTTCTCATATGGCTTGGAGATAACTTTGCACATCAGTGCTGCAACTGTCTTTTTATGGGGTCATCTTATAAAGGTCAGGCCCTCTATCATGGTCCCACATTTGCTACACCTCTAAGTTATGGGCTGTAGGAGTCTATGTGATGCTGCAAGATACTGTGGGACAACATTATTGAATCATCATCATCACCATCACCATCACCATCATCATCTCTGATAGATACAAGACAACCATTTGCTTTGCATTCTGTTACAGGAAGATTAAAAGCAAACAAGCAAATAAAAATCTTACAGCTGGGCCTGGATTTCCAGGGGGACCGATGAAGCCAGGTATTCCAGGATGACCCTGCAGATAAAAACAATATTTATTATACATATTATTTGCACAGTATTGCTCATGTTCTCCTTAAGAACTAAAAGCAAACAACCTATCACCTTAAGTGTGTATCCATACACTGCATAGACCACTTAATCCTTCAGGAGCAGCTCAGATGCATTGATTTCCAAGGTGGTCCTTAGAAAGTGATTTTAGGTTGCACTTAATAGTGAGATCATGCTTGGGTTAAATTAGGTTTAGGTTGAACTTCTGGCATACTGGCCAAAATATGCCCAAACTGGTGGACACTGTCTTTATCATCAGGATGGCAAGTTTCGTGGAGCATGAGTGTGACTAAGGCACATAATCAAGTTTACACCATGTTATCTGTGTTCTACACCAAGTTAAATGTTACCAAGTCTACACCATGTTAAAAAGCACTATGTGAAAGTTTCAACCAAGCAAGGCCATAAATATAGGTAGTGCAACTGAAGAAATTCAAAATATGGATGTGGTTTGCTTCTAGGGTTGTTGTGAGACTTGTCTGTTATGTGCATGAAGGCTGCACCCATGCTTGGCAGTTGAAATAACACTGCTATTTTTCCTCTGCACCACGGGAAATGTAGCAAGAGTGAATGGAAAAGCAATAGGAAGATCCCTTGATTCAATATGCCTGGCAAGGGGCTTTGCAGAATTATAATTCACAAGGGACAAGAGATGATGGTGACCTAAACTTGAATGCAATGCACTTTATGGCAGATAGATTTTGCTGTTGAGCAGGTCCTTGAGAAAAGCATGAAAGTGAGACAGTTTTTGATTTAGTGAAAGCATGGGATAAAATGAATGTTAATTAACTATGGAACTGTTGTATGAATATGGCTGAAGATTGGTTGCTGAATGTAATGAGAGAAGTATATGATAGAAGAAAAGCCTGAATGAGAATAAATGGAATGTTTAACTTATGCTTTGGCATTCGGCAGGGAGTAAATTTATTTGTATGTTTGTTTGTTTATTTATTAAATGTGTATGCTGCCCATTTCCCCCAATGGGTGACTCTGGGCGGCTCATTAAGGATGTGCCTGATGTCCCCTTGGTTGTTGAGTGTATTGATGGATAAATGTATAAGGAATACTTGTGTGATTATATCATAGGTATCTTGGTGGATCCATGAATGCATGTGTACTCTTGGATGCAGAGAATTGTGTGTTTAACAACCTGGCTAATTTGCAGTAAATGTTAGATAGATGGCTGTTTTCTCATACAGAGATATGGATGAGAATTAAATTGTGAAGCAAATATATGAAGGCAGAATGAACAGGACAAAAGTAAGGAGAAGACTAAGAAAGATATAATTGGATGGAGTGCATAACATCCTCAAAAAATAAAAAAGTTGGGATCACTTAAAGAACAAAAGCAATGTATGAAGCATGGAGTAAGAAAGGATGGTTTGCAAGAATAGAAAGACATGGAGAAGTATAGTGCTGGTGTAAACTAGTTTTAGCCATGTTTCCTTTTCTTATTCAGATCCCATGTCTTTAATTTCTTTGGCTATGTTCTACTCTTTACTGCACTCTGCATTATGTTACTTACCCCAAAGGGGCATAGAACAAGGGGTGTGCATACATTTCTGTATACAAACAATCTACCAGCCAAAAAGTTTTGGTTCCAAACTATAAACCACCTTCTTGGCCCTGTTACTACTTTCAGAGAAATATGAGTTATAAAGTATCTCATCTACTTTCATCTTCAGTTGGGTCAATTATTTTCCCCAGGAAAATGGTTTCAACACAATATAGCATGTAGTATTATATTTCCCTTGAGAACATAGCAATAATGATTTCTGAAGAAATAGATACCCTTGTTTGTGTGCGCCTGTGCGTATGTATCAGGAATGCACGTAAATAAAAATACGCATCTGTAATAAACCTGAATTATATTGGTGGTTTTTCTTATTTTTGTTGTGTGTGAAGAACAAAAGCTGGGGGAGTGACAAAGTAACTCTCTGGAAGGGTATTGAAACGTTCCTGGGGACTTAATGTAGCTGCTTCCATTTAAGCAGTAGCTTCAAACTCGCAGGATTGAAGCTTTGCAATTTTAATCCCATTTTGTGAAAAGCAACTTGAAATAGAAGAATATGGGGGTTAGCAAACAGTAAAGGGAGAAAGGGTTTAACAGGTCTCCCTCTGCTTTTTTTTCTCTCCTAATCATAGCACAAAGCCAGAACTCACTTTAACCCCACAGCATATATTTTGGGAAAAATCCATGGCCAGATCTGGACATCTCATGTATAGCATACAAGGGGAAATATTCCATTATTCGGACATCACAACACTGTTGGTTTGCAATGGGTCTGATGACTGAATATGGTGACTTATGTTACAATTAAACTTTTCTGCCACTGCTGCTGAAGAAAATAGATGATCAGGTGGGAGGAAAAAGAGAGATGCTTTGTCTCAGTTTCCTGCCTCCATTCCTTGAGGTTGACAAAATACAAAGAGGTGATACTATGGAGGGACAAGGACCTCTCTTGTATTGTTCCTTCTTTGAAGGCATTATGGCAACATATTTCTAATAGCTGGATCTCTAACCTTTCCAAGGAGATTAGACATAATTAGATTGACTTTCTTAAGGATGCTTTGAAACTCTACAGCACTGTTACCCATCCTCAGCAACTTTTAAGATGCCTTCACTTCAACTACCAGAATGCTGACTGGGAATTCTGGGAGCTGAAGTCCACACATCTTAAAGTTGCTGAGATTGGGAAACACTGCTCTAAAACAATCTCCCTGCTTCTAAACACCAGCTCTGAGGGACAGAGAAGTTTGAAATATTTTTCTCTCTTGTACACTCACCCACGTGTAAACCTGTCTGCAGCATTTGCTATCTGTACTGTTGTGGTGCATCTTAAATGTTTTCTTTATCACAGTGTGCGGCAGAGATTGATAAGCAGCACAAATGGGATGGCAGCTGCTAAATCAAGGCTCTCTTGCTGCAGACCAAGCAAGGCAGATGTTTAGATCTTGCGGGTAAGAGAAGCCCATTAAGGAGATAGAACAAAACTTGCTTTCATTCTTGGCTTGCTAATGCTCTCAGAGGAAATATCAACAGCTATTCTGTCACCATTTTTTCATATAAACATCAAGATTTATCTTCTCTAATAAATTATGTTGTCAGATAACTCAATTCAAAAAAGCCAAATGTCATAGAATAATCTCTCTCCCTCTCTGTCTCTCTCTCTCTCATACACGCACGCACGCACGCATGCACGCGCGCACACACACACACACACATTCTGGATAATATGATACCTTCAAAGGAAATTATTTTTCAGTCTCCTAAATTTTCCTTTCATGTTTTATTACTTATGCAAATCAGATGCCTTACTAATGGCCAGTTCTTCATGTTTATCTTACAACCGATGACTTTCATTCTTACAGATGATGATTATATCTAGAAGCATATGAATATTCTGGTGCGTGCTTGGTGTATAAGTTAATGATAACTCAAAAGCAGGACACAGATCTTTATTTGGGGAGTGAAGAATGGTCAAGTTAGTGATGCGTTGCCTGCTGAATTGTTTCAAGAAATCATGCTGCTTCCTTGTTTTCTCTCACCTGTTCACCCTTCAGTCCAGCCTCACCAGATGCCCCATGAACTCCTTTAGGACCCTAATAAAAAAGAAAGTCCAATAAGATGACTTTGTTTAATGGAAGAGATTTGGAGCATGCCCTCCCTTCTGGACCTAGTGGCATGGGCAAAAACAATGGGTGACAGGTAGTCCCACAAACAGTCTGGTCTAATGCCATGTAGGGCTTGATAGGTGGCAACCAGCACCTTGTATCAGACCCAGAAGCTTACTGGGAGCCAGTACAGCTCACGGAGCATCAGTGTTATATGAGCACATCGAGAGATGCCAAAAACTGCCTGCACCTCTGCATTCTGGTCCAGCTGAAGCTTCTGAATGCTCTTCAAAGGCAGCCCCACATAGAGTGCATTACGGTAATCCAAGTGGGAGGTGACTAAGGCATAAGGCCTCCCAGTCCAGAATGGATGCATTTCTGAACAAGATGAACCTGGACAAAGGCCCCTCTAGCCACAGTGGCCATCTGCTCTTTGAGCAGGAGCCATGAGTCCAGGAAGGTCCCCAAATAGCACCCCACCTCTGACTGGGGAAGTGCTATGATGACTGGGATTTATGGGGAGTAAAGTCTCCATACAATTGGAGGGCATCAGGTTAGGAGGGCCTGCTCTATTTGATGCATTGTTAGGGTCTGTGCTTAGTTTCACATGGTAGAGTTGTGGCACAGGTAATTCCTTCTTACAGATATAATATCTACTGGGAACAGATGTTCCATGGAAGCCCAACTCACCTTATTTTTCTTCAGCTCAACCTTTTGTGGAGCAAGAATTTTGGAAACCCAATTCACCATATGAATACAAGAAGGTTTCTTTCATGCTAGTTTGAGCATGCCAATGGGGTTAAATTTCTGGAACTGTTTCATGTATTACCTACTTCATCTCTTTTCTTAGAAAAGGTATAGGAGAGATGAACATATTCAGACTGTTAAATGCTAGAATAAATGGGAGTACTTTTGTAGGAAGCAAAACTTGATGGACCTTGAAATTGGAATGTTTTTCTCCTTTGAATAGCTCTTTTCCATTAGTAAAAAGTGTCTTCCCTTCCTATGGCAGATTAGATATCTGGTTTATTTCAAGTATGTATTTTTGGGGAGAAGCAAGGGTCACATAGGAGAGAATGTACATCTTACCTTGGGACCTTCCACCCCTGGAGGCCCAGGGGGACCTCTGAGTCCAGGTTCTCCCTGAAAGAAAACAAAGTTTACAAATAGACATTTTCTAGCCACACAGCTGAATTTCTGTTTCCTTCCATTTTGAAATAGGAAACACACACAAAGGAAAACATGAGCATAGGATGAGCTTCACATTTTTTTCTTTAAAGTCTTTTTTTTTTTCAAATTGCAAAAATGAATGCAGTTCCACACAACCTGAATGCAACACCCACCTCTGTTTGTATTGACCCACATGGTCATCCCTCCTCAAAAATTCTATCAACTGCAACTCTAAGTTTGTTTGTTTGTTATTCATTGATTGATTGATTAGTTTATATGTCTGCCCAATTTGCAGGAGAGGCCCTGGGCCACTTATAGTTTGAAGAAAGATGGAAAGAAGGAAAAAATGAAATGAAAAGAAAAGAAAAGAAAAGAAAAGAAAAGAAAAGAAAAGAAAAGAAAAGAAAATTTGGAACAGAAAAAAAAACAGAATAATGGAATAACAAAAATAACAATAATAACAGAAGCAGCCAAAGCCATCCAATACATATTTCATTCAAAGGTCTTATCCCATACTCTGGCCTAATGTTTGGGAGAAGAGCCTGGTCTTTAGGGTCTTGTTGAAAGACAAGTTTGACAATTCTGCCATATATCTTGACATCACCTAAACAGAGTCAAGGAGGACTTCTATCCTAATGATATATAACATCTCCTAGACATTTCTGTGGGGATACATCAGTAATGCAAGCAGGCCAAGGAGACGGCCCAATGAATCACTAATGTGAAGTGCTCAAAGAATTATTATTAATGCAAGAACAAGTATCCTAGCAGAGTTCATGTCTCTCTCTCCCTCTGGGCTGCAGAACATCTACAAGGAAGGACAGCAAGATCTGCAGTGAAGTCTCTTATCCTCCAGGTCTTTCTTACCCTCTTTCCAACTGGGCCATCACTCCCAGGTGGCCCTTGAGGACCTTTATCACCCTTCTGTCCTGGCACTCCAGGGAGACCAGATGGTCCAGGGGGACAATCACTGCAAACATCCTAAGAGAGGAGAATCATGGTGTCACTGAAACAGCAGACAACTCTTCCCAAATGGAAGCCTACCTTGGCTTTACTATACTGAATTATGAATTGTATGTAGGTTAAAGAAGCCTTTGTTTCTTTCTATGGGTCTGTGTGCGCTACACACTTATACTCATGTTTTACTAATGTTTAGGTCATAAACGTTGGAAAGCATAGCTCTTCTGGGATCTTCCTCATAGCTGAGTTAGTGCTATCTACCAGTCCAACTGCCCCCATCGGCAATTGCTATCTTTCCAAATGCAGAATGGAAGTAAATGGGGCTGTCTCTACTTGCAGTGTACAGGGCCTGTAAGGTCAGGAACTGGTGGATTCCCCCAGCTTTCCTTCCTTTTCTCTCCCACCAAACAGCACCAACAGCAGGAAAAACACACCAATCACTCTCCTTAACAAGACTTGGGAATGGGACTTGGGAGGAAGGCAAGTTCTGACAGATGGCTAGACCAACAGGTTTAGCCATCCATCAAAAGTGATTCTGGTTTTGCACAGGTGTTTTGCACGGGCACATTTTGAAGGAGACTGGCTCTTGGTAGATACCAGCTGAAGGCCATGCTCATTTTGAACTTGAGATAAATGCTATTTCAGAATAGCATTATTCCAAAATTTCTTTCAGGCAGGAGATGAGTACCTACACCAGCTCTTTTTGCGTGAACTTTCAAGAAGCACTTTGGCCATTGTGGGAAAAAAGAACCAGGCCTGGATGGCCCTGGGTTGATATTTAGCCTGTTCCAGCAAGCTCATCTTAGGTTGTTTGTACATGCCATTTTACCCATGGAAAATGTGACCTGGAGTATCCAGATATTCAGTGGTCTCAAGTATTTGAAGGAGGAGAACATGAGTGACTTGGGCATCTTCATCCTATTCTTCTATGTCTCCTTGAAATCAAAAGGTATGATATGGATCATCTCCCCCTAGAAGCCTTCAGGGAGAGGAATGTCTCAAGCTACGTGGAGTTGGGCCTGTTTGGTACTTGGGTTGGAGATTTAGTGCGAGATCAGTAGGGAATACCAGAGTCGTGCAGCAGAGTGGGATGTTGAAACCCTCCCCCCCATCAAAAAAGGACAAATGCACCCATGAAGTCCAAGCCAAATGTAAGCTTGACTGGAAAAAGACTTTAATTAAGGAGAGAAGAAGAAAAAAAAGTTAATAAATGTACTTCCTCTGCTCTAGTCAACATCTTCTGCACATCTGCATTTTCTCCTGAGACAATTCTTCTTATATTTTGTATCCATACTGAGTTTTACAAGCATTTATAGATGTTTATGTTTTACGTCAATTCCCCCTGAGGATTAGGACTTTGGATTCCTGGGAAAAGGTCTTACCTTAACTAAGAGACTGATATCATCAGGAGAAAGGAGAGGAGAGGAACCCTAAAAAATAATAATAATAAAATAAACCCCCCTATGTCATTTATGGGAATCATTTCAGAAAGTCTGGTATCAAAGGCAGAACGCAAAAGAGCTTGTGATAGATTATCCACCCACTGACCAAATTACAATGGATCAAGTCTTTCTGAAGGACCACATTCCTGAATCACCTCTCAGTAAAGACGAGAAGCTCTACTGCCACTGATGTAAGTTAAAAGAATGGTGGAAACATCTACAACATAATATGGGTTTCTTCTCAGCTATTCATTCATTGATCCGCAGTAAAGCTATTTGCTTGGAACAAAATTGTTGATTGCTTAATGAAAGGTGCTAATGAAAAGGAAATGAGGAGAAAGAGAGAAAGTTCATGCAGTGACATACTGGCTTTCCTGGTGGTCCTCTTTCCCCTGGATTTCCTGGTAAGCCCTGTAGAGAAAGAGAGAGAAAAAAAGAATGATGTTGTTGCATCCCTTCAATCCAATTACACTCAGATGCACACAGATGCCACGATTTTTCTCTTTACCTGCAATATTTTCCATTAGTAAAAATATTCTCACAATAGTCACATTCATATAAGTAGCATGATTCAGAAAGTTATGAGAACTTCACAATCCATAGAAGAAAGGCTTCTTGTTGTCAATGTGTGTGTGTGTGTGTTCCGTTTTCACTTAGAAATTTCTGCAACAGATGCTGACATTCAGGGGTTTCTGTCGAATTCTGGTGACATGATCCTAGAATAATCTGGGTGGATGTTTTAAAAAAGGCCTTGGAGGTCACATGGGGGCAATAGATTGACCATTTCTTTTCTCATAAAAAAGGGGAAAAAAACCCTGAAATCTTCCCACCTGGTCTTTGAAAAGAGAAGGGATCTTACTTATAGCTTGTCAGCTAATGCATCAGTCATCTTGCGTAAAAGTTGAAAGCGGAGTTTTGGAGCATCAATTCTACCTCCTACTTCTCTCTGTCTATATTTTCCTTTCCTTTTTTACTGCTGGCTGATTACTGTAATTGTCTGTCTCTATGTTGCTGAGCTAAGCTAGAACAGGAGACACAACCAAGAAGGAATTCACTGATTATTTCCTTCTGTAAATTTGCATCATTCTATGCTTCCATCTCCCTTATAAACAGAAAAGAAAGATTTCTAGAAAGCAGTTACTGCTGATTGAAACCCTGGAAAAATGAGGTATGAACAAAAGTTACTCTTAGAATCAGTCACCTAGAACAACCTTGGACATTATAAAACAGATCCAGTATCAGATGGATTCTTAATGGTTAATCACACAGTATCTTCAGGTGGGATTGTTAGAGTCTTGAGAATTTTTTCCCCTTCGCTCAAGCCTTCCTTTTCTTTAACACAGGGAGTTGACTGTATTTATTGATTATATGGATTGCTTTATCAGTATTGCATTACTGAAATGGTTTCATTACGTCTTATGGTTTAACGTGGTTTAATTTGTACATTGTTGAGGGATTACTTCACCGACAAGCTATTCAGGAATGTTTTCAAATACCCAATTAGAAGAGCTTTCAGAATTTGTATAAAAGTTAATCAAAATCACACATTGAGCGACGGTGACTTAGTCATCCATTATCTTTTTCGCATTTTCCATTGACATTTTGACTCAAACATTTCATGAAAATATTCTTATATAGGTCCTAGCAGGAAGAGAAATAGAAACTGGTATGTTTGTGTGTGTGTGTGTGTGTGTGTGTGTGTGTTAGTTCTGGAGGGATAAGGCAAAATACACTTCCTCTAGTATAATTATTTCTGACCAACAATGCATTGCATTTCACAAATTAACAAACCATCCATCTTTTTACTTACATCCTGGCCAGTCTGCCCAGGGGGACCTTGGATACCTGGTAAACCTCGGGGACCCTGGTGAAACAAGGAGAAGAACTTGATGCATGATGTCAATGCTTACATACCACATTCCTCTACATTAAGGATGGAGAAATTTATTTGGGCCAAGAGTTATCCTTCATCTTCAACAGCATTCCAAATAGTTGTAGAAGAGATATGAATGAATGAATGAATGAATGAATGAATGAATGAATGAATGAATGAATGAATGAAGTCATTGATGTATGCTTCAGTATAAATAATATTATTACTCTCTGGTCATGTATTTAATAATTCCCCTTCCCTCACATTAAAATTACAGTTTGGTAACAATTCTGAAGGTTTCTGTAGGCTGCCATGTGGTTCTGAGTCCTCATATACATCTCTGATTTGGGGAGAAAAAAACTGATGCCCAACACATAACAGATACATAACAGAATCCGACACGTGGTCAGATTTATTCCTGTGAAATAATTTGTGTGTATGTCTATACACTAAACACACCTAGATCTTCACCTGTTTTGCTTCTCTCTATTGCCCAGATAGCATCTGCAGAGTAAAAACAGAGGTTATGCTGCTCTGTTGTCTTTGTGTGATGTTTTCACCACAACAACCATTGTTACTGTGATATTCAGCAATGCTTCTATAGAAGTCTCTTACCTCACCCTCTCAAGTGAGTTGAAACTGAAGTAAAGCTAATGATGCTTCAGAGAATCACAGGAAATGATTGTTCTTAACAAGATTGTGACATAAAACCGTTAGATCATGGTGGCCAGCCACCCCTACTTTAAAATTTGTCCATCTTCATAAATCATTTCTTCTTCTTTTGCAGAGCCCATATCAATATGGAATTCCTTCTAAAAGGTAGTGTATTCACCCACCCACCCTTATTCGAATGCATTAATTTAAGTCCTACCCTTTGGCAGAGCAGAAGGCAAATTTGCTCCAGAATCTATGTGATGACCCTTCACCTATTTGAAACATGGATACCATATCATTTCTTTATCGTCCTTTTTTTCCTAAACTGTAGGCAAATCATTTAAGTTATTTTCACAGGCGTTGGCTTTACTGAGGTCATACGGTATAATCTCATACTTCTAGTAAGCAATATTATATGTAAAAGCTTTCTTTTATAAAATTTCCTGATACATGTAGAAGAAACCATGCCAAGGAGAAGATGAGGATAAAATCCATCATTCAGACAAGCTTGTCTTCTACATATAGGAGGTTTTTCTAATGGGGATGAATCACACATAACACTCTGACCCCTAGCTTCTGAAAATGCCTTCTATCTAAAGAGGTACCATCATATTCACTAGCAGCAAATGAACAGAGCATGGAAATGGAGGTGATCAGAAGTGAGCACAGTTTTTCTTTCATGAATCCCATCATAATTCAATCCTTAGGCATTCTGCTCAAAATGCTGCCCGGCAGCCCATGCTCACCAGAAGTTGTGGAAGGTGTGAGGGCCGGGAGATCTGTAGATCATAAGCGATATCATAAGGTAGGACATTTGGGAGTGTACAGAATAGAATCAAGGAGTCGATATGTCTATATTAACCAATACTGTATATATCTGAATTTTCTACCATCACTAGCAGACCAAAAGGTGATATAGTAAGGGAGCACATAATCATCTTTCCATCCCATTTCCTATCACATACTGCATATAAATAGAAAGACCTACTGTACCGGTGGCCCTTTGTCTCCCGGAGGTCCCACAGGTCCCTGAAAATACATTGATAATAATCATTCACATTAGTTTTAATGGAGATAATGAATAACATAAATACAGCTAGGCACATAACATCAAATGAATATTACAACTAGGACAAATTCTGAAATTATATGTTAATCAGTAGATATAGTTGTCTAAAAGAACCTCCTTAAATTTCTGGCTAACTGTTGTGAAAATTAGTTATAATTAGTTACAGATTTTTAAACATTCAGGTTGGAGATGTAATTTGAAGACAATCTGATTAAGCATCTGAACTGAATTGACTTTCCAAATAAAATCCAGAAGTCTGTTTAAATCATCAACTCAGATGTTTCCAAATTGATTTGGATGCTCCTACACATGAGCAGAAATAGTCCCCCCCTCCAAAAAAACCAATTTGACAATGTAGTAGGAATGACTAAATCAAATGGAATTTATTTTGCAAATCTAATCAATGATTTGAATCAGAATTTGATAGATTCTCCCAGGGATAATGTTTGGTCTCTTTTTGCTTTATCTGTGGTAAATTTTCTGCATTACAGTTTTAATCTTACAGTTAATGATGCCATTTGCTTGGTTTTTAATATTAATGCTACCACTGATAATAATAGAAGCTACCTGGAAAATGTTAAAGATGCAGGATAAAAAAGGAATAAATAGTCATAGCAAATCCTTTATCAGTCAGATAATCAGCATCGTTGTTTTGTTCTGGTGGAGATGCAGAGAGATGCATAGGTAACTCAATAATAATGTGTGTGAATATCCTCCTTGCTCAGATCACAATGCCAAACATGATCCACTTTTCAAAGACTCTTTGAGGTTCATCACAGATTAAAGGGCAATATGTTTCGTACTTACTGGTGATCCTGAAAGTCCAATGCCTGGGACTCCTCTGTCTCCTGGTTGTCCTGGAACACCTGGGGCACCTCGATCTCCCTAACAAAGACAGGTTAATGTATGTTTCAATAAAGGAATTTGTTTTCTAGACCTATTGTGATGACCATGTTATATCCATCTTATGTTAGGACATAGTCTTCTCCTCATGGTCTCGTTGGATTATGAGTTATGAGGAGAATGAAAGGAAATATGTGATTCTACTCCTTTTCAAAAGTACTTATCAAATTTAGACTGTGTATTAAATATTTCCAAGTTATTATTAATGTACAGCCAGTTTGGTGTAGTGGCCAAGGCACCAGGCTAAAAACCAGCAGACTGTGAATTATAGTCTCATCTTGGGCATGAAGCCATCTGGGTGACCTTGAGCCAGTCCCTCTCTCTCAGCCCTAGGAAGGAGACAAGGGCAAACCACTTCTGAAATCTTGCCAAGAAAAGTGCAGGGACTTGTCCAGGCAGTCACCAGGAGTCAACAGTGACTTGAAGGTACCCTCCCTCCCACAAAAAAAATGGCTGTCAAGGATTCTGACTGGGTTATTCATTTGAGTGTGAAATTCATCCTGCTAGATGCTAGAGAAAAAGGAAAGAAATAAAATAAAGAAATAGAAGTAGGGATGGATAGATTGGATTAAAATGATTTTTACTTGGTGTTTCATCTTTCCACTTTTAAAGCAATTCCATCTCGTTCCTATATTTCATTTTTATTTCTACAAAGAGTTGTACAAATATAAAGAGTTGTACATTCAGGCACTTTACATGAATGTCTCTTTAAACATACTTTTTTGCAAATAATTTCCCCTAAAATGATTATGTATACTTTCCTTACTGGGCAAAAAGGATAGAATACATCATCATCATCATTTCCTTCTTTCTCTTTTAATTTCTAAACTACTGCAAAATTTAGGAGAAAAAATAATTTTGTTCCAGTTCCTATATAGGTTTGGTGAACTGTTATAGTATTTGGATATGGCTACACTGAAATGTAAACAAAATGAATTTATCTTGCATTGCTATGAACATATAAGATCCATATTTCACCATAGTGAAAGCGCTGAATTTATTTGACAATGCATGATGTAACTGAAAAATTATCACAAAGATGAAAGATTTACACTATTCCTTTTCATATTTTAAAGCAGGCTGTATCTATTACTACTCAAGCTCCACATAAAAATAGAATGGAATCCAAACTAAATCATTCAGCCAAAGTTCAAATTTGTGCAAAATTTAGTTTCAGCTGTGATGAAACCATTCACCTTTAAAACAATATTTGCATTAACAAACTTTTCTTTGAAATGGCTTTCTATCTTGTAATTAAAAATAGGTTCCAGTTTAAAAAGAGGACACTCAAATTTCATTATCAGCCCCCAAATGTTGTATAGCTGTATGTTGAATGTTGTCCTCTATTACAAAATTAGGGCTTTTCTGCATTGCATCTGTCAGCTGTTTCTCTTCCATGTGTAAATGGTTGCAAATGAAGTTGGTTTAAGAATCCTTTTCCAGATTTCAATCCCTTCCTCCATTTTGCTACAATGATGGCCAGGCATTTTGTACTACTATAATCATAGTCCCTGACTGATGGATTCCCCTCTCTTCCCCCACAGATGGAAGGTTTTTCTGAAAACTGGTGAAAAAAAGAAGGGCAACAGTTTCATAGCATTTCCTATCCCTTGGCCTGAAAAGGAAACTTGACAGAACTCTTGGAAGGAAGGAAGGAAGGAAGGAAGGAAGGAAGGAAGGAAGGAAGGA